CGTACAGAGAACTCACACATACACAATATATTTGAAGCACATACATTTTTCTAATATTAATGACCGCAGTGTCACATTACTTACCTATGTGAAGCGTTTAAATTCCTGAATAACGTTTCACATCGTTCCTGTAGATAAATTAGATAAATACTGTGGTCATATAATAATCATATATACAAAAATACGAACGCCAACAACCGACTAAACTCATCTGGAAAGCAATAATTACTTTTAATTACTTTTAATCAGGACCAATATCGTAATTTTAGATTTGAAAAGTTTGAACAACGGCCTACAAGCATTGTAAGTAATATTATAGCCTATGGCGGTGCAACACGATTACGAACGTTTTACCTTTTTTATAACACAAATGCGAACGAATGTCGCTTATCAGAGAATTCCTTTTTTTTTTTTTTTTTTGCCGAAAAACGAACGATTGCGAACGTTTTTAAAAGCTACGTTGCCAAGCTTATAATTTCTGAATATGTTTTATTTTGTTCGGGAATTCATTTAAAACATTTTTTTTAAGTAAAAACTATTCCATATTAATAACACCATGTTATATTATAACTATGTTATAAACTAAAATAAAATTATATAAAAAAATATGAAGTGTTTAAAATGTTGATTAATTAAAATAATTTCGGAGTATAAATATTAATAATAATGCTACACATAATGTATAACACGTTAAAAAATGTACATCGTACCTACTTATTTTATCACGCGGTGAAATAGCAGAAAATCCCTTAAACTATTTAATTATTTTAAAAACTATTATTTAAAAATTTGTAATTAACTAACACTGAATCTGGCAACGACGCGCGATTAAAGGCAGATAAAAACGTTCGCAATCGTGTTACGGAAAAAAGTTCATTCGCAATCGTATACCACCCATATTATAGATAGCAGAAAAGAGATTATACGTTCTGAGCTAATGCGAAAAAAAAAATGTTTTTAAAAACGACGAAAGCCGATTGTCGAGGCCATAAAGGGTGATATGTCAGATGATTGGCTTGCTGGTTGAATACCGGTGAAACGCGCAAAATATTTATTTTGACTGGGCCTATTCAATTATGGCATATTTAGATTTTAATCACTCCTTTGGCGCCTCAATGACGGGTGACGGGCATACGATTTTATAGATATTTTTATCAGGCGATATATAACATTAATAATAAATTATCAAAAAGGTTAGCCACACAAATACTTGACATGTAATGTAAATGTTGAATGGACACAGCCGTCATTATTGTGTATGGAAAAAAAATTCGTGATGATCACGAGATACGCAATATTATTATTATACTATACATCTAAAGGTATGTGCGTCACAATATGTAGGAACATACGTGTCGTAAATCGTAATATTGTAATAAGATGAAAATAAAAACGTTCAAGCATAGGATGTAAACTACAAGAAATAAGCCGGGTGGGTTGAAAATGGAATTAGTTAATCGCCACGAAATGGCTTGACGTCTTGAATAGATTCGAAGAATTTAGACTGAATAGCTACCGGTCACGAAATATGTGCCGGAGCATAAATTACCAATTTCAAGAGTCGGTGCAGTTTTATGGTCCCAGCTGTTTAGGCTATCATAGGTATAAGCATTTTAAATAGGGGGATAGAGCTTAATAAAATCCACCTAATTTATACTTCCTCTTCAGTATTCAGCGTTTCTTGCAATTACATAATGCATAAAATAAAAATATATGATCCGGTGTACTGATAGATAAATTCTTGAGTATAAACGCAAAGTTAAAAATTCTTCGTCTTCTTCCTGCATAGTAATTAAATGATATACATTAAAAATTAATGAATATTATTTTATTATGATACTTCTTGTTTAAAAAATTAACGATAATTTATAAATGTATGAGCTATTAAATTAATATTTCTTCATTTTTGAGATGAAAAAAACTTTTCTGGTTTCAAGAAACACTTCTTATCGGACGATAGACAATATTGTCGCATCGTTGTGAGGGTTCTGTAAAATTACGTTAAATTAAAAATAATAATAAATTATATAAGTAAGTTAACTTCTTACTCGAATCATTGTGTTTCTATGCGATAGGTTTTCAGTCTTTCTTTTACATGTAAAACCCTGAAATCGTAAAAATACGAATGCATAATACTATTAAGTCCATGATTTGTTTTAATCTTTGTAAAAGCAAAAATAAATTAATTCCAAAACTGATATTAATAGTTCGATAGTTAATTCTTTAATATTATCTTTCAAAAATTTATCACACGCAATAGGCTTTTTTTTTTTTTTCATACACAATATCAATATGATGTATGAGTATGACGATACATTGACATATTACAATACTATTTACAGTAGAATATTTAAAAGAATTTATCACCATGGTCCATAGGTATAAGTTTTTTTTTATTTTAATAAAATTTAAATTTTATTTCAGTCATCAGTTATCTCCTTTGGACGTTTGGTTTTCAAGTATGACATAAAATTATCAAATTAATTCGGTTAATAGTGCGAAACCGCGAAACTCTTGTCCATTCAATTTGTTAAACGTAATTACTTAAAAATGATAAAATACTTCCTGATAATTTCATGTTATATTATAATTTCCTTTATTTCCTACACGTAGATAATAATAACAGACGGTGGATACAATTCATTAAGTTATATTTTTTAGAGTTTTTTTTATATATATTTTGTTTTTACATTGTTATTCAGTCCAATAAGTCACGTAATCAGAATATTCTTTGTTCGAGTGATTCTATCTACCGACTATTAAGTATTCTACTGCGGTTTCTTCAACAACAACAACAACAAAAAGTTAATTATAAAAATTTCTCATGATTCTGTAATCTAAAAAAATAAAATATTTTAATAACACGATTTTTTTTTTGATTTTTATATTTTACTATGCCATTATACTGTAGATATATAATAATATTCGTTATAAATAATTAAAATAGTAAAAAAACCGATTAAAGTTATAGCTTATGCAAAACCAATATTATTATTTTTTTTTTTTGATAGAATGAAAGCAATTTTTATTGCGTGCGTAATAATATCATTTTAGGGCCCATTTGTCATTTTACTCTTATCTGCAGCGTGCAAGCTATGATATCGTCAGGAAAAATTAATAAATAATATGAAACGATAATATTATTATACGATATTCTAATGTTGTCGAGTATTGTACAATATTATTACTTTGTTGGATTATTAATTTATTATATTATTTTGAATAATATGAATGTACGTATACCATCATTATGGCGTGATCTAGCGGTAGTGTGCATAACATCAGACGCTTAGGTTATCAGTTTGTCCAAAAGAAGGGATGAGTGTAATCTGTTTCGTAGCGTAGTGTCGTTGCAAAATCATTTTTTAATTTATCATCGTCATAACTCATAATTATTTATCGATATTATATTAACAAAATACTCAATCTTGATATTTATCTCTTCTTTTTTTCGTGAGTGCACTGTTGCATTATATTATTATTATTATTATTATTATGTACATTACAGTCAAGAGGAAATAACGTTTGTTCATCATTATGATGAATGATGATAGTATAATATAAAAATAATTAGGTAACAATTACCTCTTTTAGATTTCCCTTACGAATTACGATTTAACTCTTGGGAAAATTAAGGAAATTAAAAGTGTCGATACGTAAAAATGACATCATGAGATTGTCACACGCTGTTTTAGTAAGCATAGAAATTAAAAACATATTATGATCTATCTGAAAATATGTACTTTATTTTTAAAAATTGAAGACCCCGCGATACAATAATTTCATTGTGATACATTTGAATAACGTTTATTATAGTTATAACAATATTTTGTTGATTTTAGAATTTTTTTAAAATATTTTTGTATTTTTAAATTTTCATTTAATCTTATCATTTTTTTTTTTTTTTTTTGTTTTTTTTTTTAAAAGTTATTAACATTTTATATTCAATTTAGATTTAAAGCATTTGTTTAATAAATAATAATATTTTTTTTTGTATATTTTATCGCGTTTTTTTGCATGTACAAATTTTAAATTTCTCGAAATAAATACAATATTATCGTATTAACTTCACACGCGGAGACGTGCACTGGTCTGAATGTGTGATACGAGTGAAATTCGATTGCGATCACGACAGTCGACAGCCATAGGAGAAATGATATTGTGCTGTACAGTGTACATTATTTTGATTTTTGTATTGTTCCGCAGCATCAGGAAATGCGGTAACCGCAGACATCCCCCTACACCGTAAATGACGATTTTCAATATTACCGTTGCGAGTGTCGTCACACAGTGTTCACTTTATTTTTTGTTACGCTAAACACACTATATCGATTCTACGTTGACGTTCTAATTATGTTTACGTCGAAACTCTTCAACAGCACTTTACTTGTGGTTAGCCCGCTGCGATCCGCAATTGTACCTGTACGTATAGTCTGTTCGTAGGTAGATGCCCATTACTCATTTTATACGTTTATTATTCTCCATATGATAAATGATAATAGTATGGTCATAGTTTATAGTAGCCAATATTGTTCTTCGACAAAAATCGATGTGCCGCGGTCACGCGAATCGAATCAAACGGTTATAAATGTTATTATTTGGACATAGGAAGTAGTAATTTTATATATTCAAATATTATAACGATATTTATAATATGTGTATAGGTATTAATAATTAATAAGTATCGTATTAAATATTAGATACACGATTTATTTAAATTGTGAACGAACAAAATGATATAAGGAACTAGATTCCATTAAAAATGTAATGAACTAGCAAATAAAATACGTCCTTAGTTTAAAATGTTATTTTTGAAGCATAACGTGCTAAACCCGATTTTATGGCGTTCAACTATTATACAATGCGATGAATAGTATTGAAATAGTCTAAAATTAATACGATCGATCTAAATTGGAAAGTTTGTTTTGTTATTTGTTATCCAACAGGTAGTTATTACACATTTTTTTTTTTTTTTGTAAACGACTTCCCTATATAAGTAGACTCGGTTTGGATCCTTTTCGCAGTATCAGTCGTTTTGGTCTTCAGTCGGTTTCGAGTTAGCATCCAGTAATCATCTGCCCACGTTCAATTTAGTACGAACATAATAATGGATTCAATCGTCAAGGTAAATCTTATACTTACTTTTTTATACCTGTGTCGTAATTTTTTTCACTATAAAATAGTCGTTATTTCGTTATACTAAATCGTTTTAAAAATATAAAAATAAATAGATTCTGCTTACCACTGTCTATGTTGTTCTCATGGCGCTCAGATCATACGGTCAATATGGAAACAGATACATGCAAAGGGGTGTTGCTCACGAATTTGACGGATTCGATCAAGGAAAATATTTGGGTCATGTCCTCCCGTATTCCCAAATAAATGGTCAGGGTTACAATTTAGGATGGAGCGGATACCAAGGAGGAAACAGTTTCAATCCATATCAAAAACTAGGATATGAACATCAAAACCAAGGATACAATGGAGGCATAAGACTTGCAGATGGTCAACTATTCGGTGTGCAGCAACCAGTAAATTTCATTGGTAGTCATCAACGATATAGGTTATAAATTAAAATTATTTAATTTTTGTAAAAATACAATTTTAATCAGATAGGTATTTAAGATTTTATAAAAATGTAGAAACACTTTTATTTAAGATTGTTTATAATAAATAATAATTATAATAAAATAATTTATAGTATTTTAATTGTTTAAAATAATCGTAACAAATCTAATACAACACATGACATTTTTTTTTTTTTCATAATTTAATTTTGATTTCATATTTCGATATTAACTTTATTGTATGTTAAATGCAAAGAACTAGTAATAATTAAATGTAATTTTATAATTTTTTCTATCTCATATACTATGATACTTCTTTTATATTACATAAGAATCTACTTATATATTATACATACATAATTCAAATTATGGAATATAATAATAATTAATACAGTAAGATCTCAATAATCCAACACGGTTAGATTAGGTCCGACAACTTCAGTTATCTGACACTTTTTTTTTTATCTTTCTCCTACATGAAGAATAATTCGACTTCATTAATACAATATAGGTTTTAATTTATTTTTATTTTTATTATTTCTTTTAAAAGATAATTTGATTGAAAACTAACAATATATTCGATAAAATCATACTAAAATGCACTTTAATACTTTAGTCATTTGTTAGTTCTTAATTTGTCGTCAGATAAACTGGTTTATTTACAAATTATAAATTAAAAATATATTATACAAACATTTTTACATTAATAATAAGTACGATGATTATTTTTTTCTCGATTGAACCCTCTAAATCTGACAACACCTAATCTCATACAAAATAGACTAGTAAGGTCTTATGCTATTCCTTACTTTTTTAAATATTTCCTTTTTTTTTTTTATTTCTTTTTTGTTTTTCCTTCAAAGGCTCGATTCTTCGTCTCTTGATTTTCTTTTGCTATAATTTTCATAGGGTGCTTCACTAATTTTTCTCGAAAAACGAACTTCTTTTTTCCCATTTGAATCGTTTTCTTTTTCACTCAAATCGCATACCTTAATAATGAAGCCGTCTTCACTTGGAAATCTGACGCTTATCGTGCCCGACTTTTCAAGAAATAATACGGGTGCGTCGTCTGCTAAACGTTCGTTTTTTTTAGATCGTCTCAGTCTTTCAACAGTGATTTGACGGTCATCTGAGACGGAATTTCGGAACCCGTGCAAATATAATTCCCTGCATTTTTTTCTGAAAACTTTATGGTAGTATATGAGGACTAGCGGAACAAACACGTCAAACAGGATTGGCAATTTTGACAAGTAACCATCCAATATGTCTTCTGGTGCTTCGTTTTCTGCCCAAGGGTTAACATCTGGATTGTTATAAAGATAAACATAAGACGAAATAAGACTTGGTGTTACAAGAATTGTATAAGATGCAAAAATTAATTTGGACGGTACAAGGTCGATTTGGTTTTTTGTTTGGATAGGTGTCACTATGACATTCGCAGATTCGGTGGTCGTTGAAGGGCGGGATACAAATACAAAATAAAATGATATTGACCACGGTATCATAAAACTGAAAACAATCAATAAAGTTGGGTAAAACCATCCAGTAGTATTTGCAATGAAACCACAACGACCTCTGAAAAAAATTAAAACATTTGCGTTTATATTACTTTTGTTTACAATAATTTTTTTGATTCAAGTAGGTAAGGCATATATTTAATTATTTTATATCATTTAAAATTATCGATTTCAATGTAAGAATATCACAAAATCGATGGTTATTCAACTTTTTTTTAACATTTTACCTTTAGTTCTTATATTATATACAACAAATTTTCATAAAATAATTGGGAAAATAATTCGTCACTACAGAATTTTCTAATTCGTAATATGTTTAAAAATTATAAATTAAAATACGTGACAAAACAAAAGCATTTTTTTCACGTTATGTAAGTTGTATAATTGCCATTTGTGGTTTTGGTAATTAATATTTTATCAACTATAAGTAGATATTATATGTGTATTGTTATGTAAATCACCAAGTATGAAAAATGAATAATTATTAAAACTGTAGTAAAGAAGTAGTGCATATATTGAAAATTTAAAATATGCAGTGAGCAATTTTTAATGTTACCAGTACCATTATCCATTTATGATGTTTAAGTATAGCTATCGAACCATATTATGCAGTATTATAATGTTATGCTTTTTCGGTACAAAAATAAATTGGCTAGTAAATAATATAATAATATATGAATATGTTCAAACTGTTGTGAATTACAAGATCAAAAGCGTTAAGAAATAAATTTTAAAAATTTTTCCATACAACAAAATGTTTGTGTTATATTTATTTTAAGCGTTTAGTGATAGCATAAAGTAGATAACTATATACTATTTATAACAATAAAAAATTATATTCATATGATTCGATGATACATTCCAACGCATAATTACAATTTTGTTTATTCTTACTATTTACATTTACATTATGTATAGATTGAAACCCTGTATTATTATTTTATTATTATAACAATTCATATTTTATAGAATTTACTCTGCAAACAGCTATAAAATAAAAAAATATCGACATTTCTAAGTATTTTTGTCTTCTATCGTTTATTCGCGCTAATATGCTCGTACTCGTATATAAATTATCGCATCAATATTATACAAAGTGTTTCACCGTGTTTGTTCTCTGTATAAATACTATAATTTAAAAAAGTATCGTTCTACCCGTCTCCCGACTAAATTTTAAAACTTATTTTTTATTGAACATTCAACTAAGGGTTATTGGATTTTGAAAATATTTTCATAAGTTATAACCACTATAGATTTTCATAAAAATCATAAATAGAAAATTTAGTTTGTGTAAGGCAGTAAGAACTAAGTATTACACGAAATATAATAATTGTTACGCCTTATTGTTTCCATCGCGTTAATAATTTTTCAAAATTACTTTAAAAAAAAGAGTAGTTGGCAGTAAGTCATATTATATACTTTACTGGGTAATAAAATCAGTGGCCTGTTTGGGTCTATTCAGTTTATTGCATCTAAAGAAAACAATATAGTATTATTACCTCCTCCACTTTCAAAAAGTAAAACCATACATACTCTCTTATTATTATATTTATATTATATTCTCTTATTACAAACATAATATTATGTTCAAGAGAGTTCAACAATTTTTTTATACATTACCTATATAATATTATATTTATAAAAATAATTGAAGTCATATTAACTTTATTGCATCTATATAATACTTGTATCTATATTATGATGTATAATGTGTTATGTTAATAAAAACCAGAAAACGAAGTCGAATAATATTATTATTATCATTGATGGATGACTTAGTGTTTTAAAAAATGTCCGTTTAATCTTGTCAGTCGGTGTCAAAAAATTACAAGTTCATAAACAAAAAACTGTCACTCCAACCACGTATAGACTGACAAAATATTTATCACCGACGGCGACGTGTAGTCGCATCACTCTTATCTAAACATTTCATTACACGTAATGTCGGTAAAAAACGATTGACCGTAGAATATTTCGAATGACGTTGCCCAAATTTAAACCAAATATTTGTGAATTATTATTTTCACGTGATTGTCACTATCTACCATAGGTAATATATTATATTATATAAAGTAGGAATTATCTCGCTTACGTTTGCAAAAAACTTATCGATCGATAAAAAATTGCACGTTTCGTAAAATAGTTCCATTGAAACGATCTCGAAGTCAATTTTTTCCGCAATGCTGAGGACGGTTGTAAACTTTAACCCTGGTCAAATATTCGTGATACGAGTGTTCGGTCCAAGTTCACGGTTCGTGTTGGCAATCACCTTTTAAACTCTCGTAACTTCACAATAGGCAATGACCTAGTCTTATTATTTATCGCATTATTATTATTGTTATTATTATCATCAACAGGTGTCGTTATACTGTCATCGATATGCGTCGTATTATATAATATAACGCTTATAAAACCGTGCACGCAGCTTTGAATTCATACCATACACGTAGATAATACATTCGCAATAATTTAAACGAATATTTTATCGTATATAATAATTGTATGAAGTTCAGAGTGGTCTGACACAACCATTGCGAGCAACAATACGTGTCAATTGCTTATTTACGCTAATCGAGAAGGGTAGGTATAGGTACTATAATATGTCTGTCGTTTTATTCGATCGTGTCGTGAAAAACGTGCCGTACACTCTTACGCGACGTAGTTGGGTATAGCTGATATAAAACGTATTATAATTATTTTTTTTCTCGTTCAAATTTTTAGCATAATATAAAAACGGAGAGAAAATATATTGCGTCGTTTGAATCGAAACGTTTTTACGTTTAAACTTTAGTCAAACGAAAAACGAATCGCATATACGTGTAATACGTAGAAAACGTTATTATGCTACGAGGGAATTCTGTTGTACAAAGGTGATTTTGCTGGGACGTGGGCGACAAATTTTTATTCGGCACGGGGAGGGGTGGCGGTGGCGGGCAAACCGTCAAGTCCTCCCCGTGTAAACCCCCATCCGTGACGTAAACGCGTACGTACCTGGACGGGAAATTCGGTGGCGAACAGCAACGTCGGAGTGAGTATGACGTACGTACATGGAAGGGCGGCCCACAGGGTGGCGGCGGCGGGCAGGGGCAGCTCAGCGTAGTCGGGCCGGACGAACGCGTTGAGACACGCCAGCGCGGCGAACGTGACCAGCTCGACGGCCGACAGGGCGGCCGACGGTGGCCACGCCGCGGCACACGGTGGCCTCGCCGCCGCCGCCGACCAACAGCTCCCTGGTGGCCGCGCAGGCCGACCGCGGCGTCGATGGCGCACTGCAGGCACAGCGCGGACACGAGCACGGCGTACGGCGACCGCAGCCTGTCCGCGGTGACGATGCCGGACACGACGACGTTGGACGCGATGGCCGCGGACGACAGCGTCAGGTACGCCGCGGCCGACGACACGGACGACGCGCCACGCCGACACGCCGGCGCCGCGTCCGGCAGTATGGACAGCGTCCCGTTCGGGTTGGCGTACACCACTTGACGTCCATGACGTGACCGCCGCCGCCGCCGCCGCCGTCGTCGTCGT